TCGAACCCACGAACCGCGAGATCATGACCTAAGCGAAAGTCGGACGCTTAACCGACTAAGCCACCCAGGCGCCCCAGTTAACTCCCCTCTTATAGGGAAACTGAGGCATGGGGCAATTCTGGCCCAAGGCTACACATGGCTTATGCAGCTCAGGACCAGGGTAAACAGACAACGGAGAAAAGAGACACACCCTGCCTGGGTGGCTTAGTCGGTTAAGCGTCTGACTTTCGCTTGGGTCATGATCTCGCGGTTCGTGGGTTCGAGCCCCGCGTCGGGCTCTGTGCTGACTGCCGGCTCAGAGCCTGGAGCCTGTTTCAGAGTCTGTGACTCCCTCTCTCTCTGACCCTCCCCTGCTCGCGCTGTCTCTCTCTCTCCTAGAAATAAATTTAAAAAACATTAAAAAAAATTTCTTAAAAAAAAAAAAAAAAAAAAGAGACACACCCTGGTAAGGTGCCCAGAGAAGGGACCTGTTTCCACCTGGGGGCAGAGGGGATGTGGAAGGACAGAGGGGTCACAGAGGGGCCTCGGAGGAAGAGCTGGTACAGGACAGGCAAGTGCTTTCCACAGGAGAGCACCGCATGAGCTTCCGGCCTCACCCTGTTGGGGGCTGGTCCTCTGCCTTCTCTGCCGTCCCGATTGACCGAGGAAGTGATGACATAGTCCAGGGTGATGGATGAGTCCAAAGGAGGTGAGACCAAGGTAGGCAGCCCATGCTCTGGGCTGCCCAGCAAGGGGTGAGCCCCCCCAGGGCCTCCACTGGTTGTGGTCGGGCTGCTGAGGGGGTTGTGACAGCACAGCCTGGGCTGGATCAGAACCAGCCCGGGGTTGGTGTGGGAAGTGCGGGGTCTGCATGGGCATCTCCCTGCCCCTCCAGCTGTCCCTGGTCTGCAAGGCTGTGCTGAAGGTCCCTGAATTCTAGGTACTCAAGCATCTCCTGAGCCCAGGCAGGGGCCCCGACAGCCCAGTGCCGCCCACCCATGGCCACTCAGCCGCCGTGAGCAGACAGCGAGTCCTCACAGGCAGGGCCTGCCTGCTGCACACTCCACAGTACGCGGGAGGCCACTCACAGCTGGTTGGCAGGCAGCCTGGATGGACACCTGGCATCTCGCCAGCCACAGTGCCAAGGTGAGGCTGGGCCCCTGGCCCCTAGCAGACAGGGTAGCGTCTCGGCACCAGCAGGGCCTGGCCCTCCCAAGGAAGGAGTGAAACGGACAGAGGATTCCAGGGTTCAGGGCTGGTCCTGAGCCCCTTTGAGGGGATGGACCATGCCCTCGGCCAGGCACTCGGGCTCCCCTGACAGAGAAGCCACTTTCCAAAGGCCAGTGACAAGAGCCCTGCCAGGGTCCCTTCCCTGGAGACACGCACAGCTCGTTGCCACCTCCTCCTTGAAGCCCTCCCAGATGACCCAGGTAGAACCTCCCAGATGAGGAAAAAGACCTCCTCCCAGTGTCAGGATTTTGTCTGTGGACCCCAGAACTCCCAGCCCAGAGTCTTGAGATGATGGGCCCAGAGCCCCTGTGTTCTTTTATTTTTTTTAATTTTTTAATGTTTATTTATTTTTGAGAGACAGAGAGAGACAGAGCAAAAACGGGGGAGGAGCAGAGAGAGAGGAAGACACAGAATCCAAAGCAGGCTGTCAGCACAGAGCCTGATGCGGGGCTCGAACTCCTGAAATATGAGATCATGACCTGAGCTCAAACGATGCAGCCACCCAGGTGCCCCAGAGCCCCCGTGTTCTAATGCCCCCTTGAGGAGAACAAAGAGGGAACCACCTCTCAAGCATGTCCTGTCTTTTTATCACCAAGATCTTTCTATCCTACCAACTGGATTTCTAAGACCTCCAAAGCAGGAATTGGTGTGACTACCAAGAAACCTTTCTAGTCCGTGGCACCCTCCTCAAGTCCTCTTTGCAGTGAGCAGCTCTGCAGCACGGGAATGCTGTGTGGTGTCTGTCCAGCACCTCCGATGTGTCCAGCCCTGACCAGGTGGAAGCCAAGGGAGCCCCGGCTTGGCTGGCAAGCAGCAAGGACGTGTTGGATGGGCTAGGGAAGCACCAGCTGCTCTGGGCCTGAAACTAGGGCTTTGTCACCAAGACCCTCCCTGGAGAGCAGACTCTGTCTGGGCTACATGGGGGTCCTAGGATGCACAGTGTTGGCGGGCGCTGGACAGAGATCGCCCGGCCCAACCACGGAGACGGAACCCCATAGCTGAAGGCACAGGTCCAGACGGGATGGAGAAACCAAGGCTGGTTGAGGGGAGGGTGACGTAGCGGGGCCCTGAGAGCAGGGCGTCCGGCTGAGGCACCTGCTGGCGGGCCTGAGGTTTGCGTGGGAGCAGGAGGGCCAATGTGGTACCTGGTGGGGATGGTGGTACCGAAACGGAGGGTCCTGGAGGGCAGCGCCCCCCCGCCAGGGCTGTGGGGGTGTCTCCACAGTGTCCTGCATTTGCTGGTTTATGCTGTGGGTTGAGTGGCTTCCCCGAAGCCACACTGTATCCCAGCCCTGGTACCTGTGAATGTGAATGTGGCCTTATCCGGGCTGGCGGCTTTGCAAAGGAGGGGTGGGCCCTCATTCAACGACCGTGTCCTTATAAAAGGGGGATTTGGACACAGACACGCACCCAGGGAGAGCGCTGTGTGATGAAGGACGAAGAGGTCAGGGGGCAGTGGCCTGGAGAAGCTTCCTCCAGAGCCGCTGGGGGAGCCTGGCCTACATGGGGGACCCCCAGAGCTGGGGGGGACAAATGTCTGTAGTTCGAGCTCACGAGTGAACTATCACAGTTACACATTGCTGTTCTCGGCCGCCTTCGAACAACGGTTGGGAGCCGCCAGCCAGCCAGGGGGACCCACGTTCTCTCTCCCCTCCCTGCCTCCTGCCCACCCTCAGCGGGGACAGTCCAGGATATGCAGACCAGTCCAACTTGGCGAGAGATAGAAGCAAACGGGGTGGGGGTCTGGCTGCCTTAGAGCCACCGGGCCCGAGTCTGGGTGCATTTTCTTCCCCTTGAAGCCAAAGGAACCCCAGGATGCTCTGTCCACGCGGCCCTGGGGACCCCCAGCTGTGAGGTCTCACTTCTCCAGGTTCCCATCTACAGCCATGGCCCGCAGCCCTTCCCAGGGGCATGCCTTTCTGTGGGACCCCCCCCTGGTGTCCCCTCTTTGTCTTCCCCTCCTGATGGGGGAGGGCTGGGGGAGAACACCCCCCTCCCCGCCCCGCTCC